AATTTTTCAAACCATCCCCTGCTTGCCTTAAAGTCTATCGTATCTGCACTCGTTCCAGGGGTTTTCTTTACAAAGTCTTTGTGCAATACCCTGGCTTTCTCACTAATGATGGCCTCTGAAACACTATCACCCTTTAACTCCTTGTTGTGTATCCAGATTAATTATTTATCGAACAACAACACCAACTAATTAATTATCCGATCGACTTTGGGATAGCTTCAAAATGAGTGCCTTTAAATTGCGCACAATTTCTTACCATATTGAAAGATGTATTATGAAACTTGATGTCAAAGCACATGAAAGATTATAAATACGTTTTTGGGCCAAATTTTAAAATATTTGTTAAAATTCTATTTATTTTGCTAATATTATGAGACTAGTTTTAAAATGCGCGCCCTTTGGTTGCGAACAATTTGATACGAAAATGAAAGATGTAACATGAACATTCATGTCAGAACACTGGAAACATATAAATAATTTTGTGATGATGAGCGTCCAAAATTAAAATATTTGTTAAAATTCTAGTTATTGCTCTATTATTATTGGACTAGTTTTAAAATACGCGCCTTTCTATTGCGAACAATTTGATACCAAAATGAAAGATGTAAGACGAAAATTGATGTTATCAAACTGAACGAGTATTCACATTAGGCCGTGGTGTGCAAATTGGTGCTCGTTCATGGTTAACTTTAGGCTTTGCTGTGGGGAGTCACGCCGGGCTTTTGGACATTATATGCATATACACTTGTAGGGAATTCTATTGCGAACACAATGATACCAAAACGAACGACGTAGCACGAGAATTAAGGTGAGATAACTGAAACGAGTATAAACATTTTACTGATTTTGTGCGCTCACGGGTAACTTTTGCCGACTTTTGGCTTTGCTGTGGGGAGTCATGCTGGGGTTTTGGACATTTTGTGCTTATACACTTGTAGGGAATTCTATTGGGAACAAAATGATACCAAAACGAATGACGTAGCGTGAGAATTAAGGTAAGAAAACTGAAACGAGTATACACGTTCCGGTGTCGCCGCGCGCTCGGCTGCACGCCAAGGGCATGAACTGTAAATTTGCGGGCGCATGCCGGGCGCGCGAAAATGTTAAGGGTTAAAGGAGTGGGTTAGGAGGGCTTTGCTTTCTTAATCATTCTTAATCAAAAAACACTTGATGAGGTCTGCAAGTAAACAATAAGTGAGGCCTGAAAGAAAAACACCTGGTTTATTTTTTTGGTGAGAGCTTCCAAGATGAATCAAAAGCCAAAGTTACAGTTATCCGGTAACTTCTTAACCACCGTGCTGCGAGGCCTTAAAATATAACATTCTGTGGTGCGCCGAAACTAAATGATTTTCCCCCAAAATTATCATTTTATGTTATTAAAATGCAGTCTCTAATCATGGGAAACTAAAAAAATATTGTATGTGACATACTTTAGACGTGATGGAGCTGAAAAGTTGAGGAAATTACCGGAGCTGAGTGATGGAACGCTCGGGGTCACTTGGCCCCGCCACCTTATGGGGCGCTATTGGCCACGAATATAAATTTTCACAATTATTTTGATGTTTCTCATTCATTTCTTCTCTGGTATTTTGCAGTAATATTATTCAAAAGTGTATAATTTGTGGAATTTATATAGTTCAATGTGTGGAACATCGCTATGCTCAAAATTATGGAACTCATATATGTTCCATGTGTATTATATTTTACAATCAATCAAACAGTGTTTTTGCTGTCATTACACTATATACATATGGTTTATACTGTATACCTATCTACATGATTTGTACACCATAACTGTACAACTAAGCTGGTATGGTGTGCAAACCACAGTGTGCTACTCACTCCCTTACCAACACCTCCTCCCAGCATACTCTTCGTTCTGTTATTACACTATATACGCACATTATGTATAAGTATCTACATTTGTGTTCAACATAGCAAATCACTAAGTTGGTATGGGAAGTTCAGACAATAACAGAGGTCGCCACTCAGTCAGCTGATGCTCCCTCCCTCCCTCCCTCACCAACATTCATCCGCCTACAATAGTGTTTCTGCTCTTATTACACCATATACACACGTTATATATATAGGTACTGTATCTATGTGTTTTGTTGTCCATAACTGTACATCTAAGCTCGTTAGGTGTCCAAACAGCATAGTGTCCACCCGACACAGCATGACAAGTCTCACCAGCCAGCAGATGACTCCACCTCCCTCACCAAAATGGCTCCTCCCAACATATTCCTTTTGCTGTTATGACAATATATACACACACACGTTATATATATGTATCTACATTTGTGCTCATCATAGAGAACCACTAAGCTGGTATGGCGAGTTCAGACAATAACAGGTTGCTACACGCAGTCTGCAGATGACACTACCTCCCTCCCTCCCTCAACAAGATTATTCCTCCCATCATACTACGTACAGCACTAATTATTACCACAATCCTGCTATTATCAGAATCCTGGTCATTTTTATCACAGACAGGGGTCTTCTGTAATACTATCACTAAATAATAGCAGTTATATATATATTTTGACATGTTTAGGCGATGCTGTAGTCACAAGCTGAGCAGCAGTGCTGTTAGCTTATGCTGCGTGCGCCAGCCTTGGTTGCTCATTTAGTACTGAGGCTCCCACACCCAAGAATGTTACTCACGATTTTCTTTTAAAATGGCGTCTGTTTACAGGAGTCCTGAGACACAGGATGTGAGCCCCGTGTACCCGCGGGAGTTTTGAATCGCTCCCAATATCTATAATTGCCACATGGTGCTCTGCGCACCCTCGGTCTAGCGCCACAAGGCGCTCTGCGCAGCGCAGTGGTTAAGGAATAGTTTCCGGGACAGTCGATTGTTTCGAGGGGCTGCTGCCCACTTCTCTTTAGCCTCTTCTCTTGTTCCTTTATCCCTGATGAGCAGTTTTTCTTTGCTGCTTGCTTCCTCTACGTTTGGCTCTGTTGGGTCGGCTAAGCCGTTAGCTATATTTGGTTTCACTTGGTTTCATTTTCCTGATCTCATATTCTTGGACTTGGTTGTCTTAGTTCTTTGCTGGGTCCTCTGTGGTTATTAATGGAATTGTCTATTGGATTTCTGTTTTTTTCCTGGCTTTTGCTCTTCTCTTCGTCTGATATGTTCCTCTTTTGTTTTAGTTGTATGTCATGAGATAGCAACATGGAGCCATTGTGGAACCTTCCCAAAAAAACAGCATTGAATGTAACAAAATACCTCTTTCTGGTGGGTCCTCGGTGGCTCCCTGAGCCCTCCCTTTTGCTTTTAGGTACATTGGTTTGCCTTTGGTCTGCTCATGAATGAAAGGGTACATCGGTTGAGCCAGTAGCTTCCGCTGTTGGCATCTGGTGTGGGAAAGTGGAACTAGAGGTTGATCTACCTAACTCCGTATTTCTCTTTTTTTTTTTTACACTTTTGCTCTGCTGTTGTCTGTTTTGTCATGCTATACCTTCTGATAATTTTTCTCTTGCGTGATCTGGTCGAAAGACTGGGCCATGAGAACATTGCTCCTCGGAATTACCACAAGGTAATCATTTGCTCTCTGCACCTCTTTGAGGGGATCAGATTTTGGCCTCTGGTTTCTTGTAGGCTTTTTAAGACTCACGAAGACCTGGTGTGATTTGATGTGTTGAGCTATGCAGGTGATTGGCAACAGGGAGCACTGAGAACCCACCAGAAAGAGGCATTTCATTACATTTAATCCTGGTTTTGTGTGTTCCTGTAGTATTAGCACAGCATAAAATAGTTCAACTTTACTCTGCTTATAGCAACAAATTGCATCAGTTTCCTGTAAACCAATATCTCTAGATACAGTTCACTAGTTAATTCCATCCTCATCTACATTGTAAATGTAATAAAAAAAATCTCAGTCGACAATCTCCAGATATATTTTGACACTATTGTGACAGCTTTATCTGCAAACTGCCTTTGACATAACATTTTGATACCTCTGATACCATGGCAGTTTTTAAAAGCACTCTGCCACCTAGTAGGCTCTTTCCAAAAGTAGCTATTCTTCTACTGGCTTCTTTGACTTACATCACTGATAACTATATCATTCACACGCTGCGTTATCAGTTACGTTATGCCAGTTGTATTCGACGACTGTGGCAAGCTAGTGCTCTTGGCTTATTAAAGTAGAGACGTCTAGGGTATGATTGGTTGAGGTCTCTTCACCCCCAAGGACAGATTTTGACACATTGCACGTAAAAGTCAAGACATTAAGGAATTGTTTGTCGTAACAGAAGATTAGACAGAAAGCATCCATGAGAAATCATCTTAATTGATTGTATCATAGGACAAGTGTCTTAAGAAGACTGAAGAGGCCCTGTTATGAAGTAGACCAACAGCTTTGTCCATTTCTGCCTTTATTTTATGAAATTATGATATTGAATTATTTGATAAAAATTATCAATTGCTTTCATATGATCATTATAATCATATGACAATTTTTCATCCAATTTCTTACTTTCTGTCCTATTGATCCATTTTTATTATGAATTCTGCAGCTTTCTTCAGAAGCAAGTGGAACAAAATGACAAATACATTACCTGTTCTGCAATTTTATACATTCATATGTCGTTATAAGGATCATTTCCACTACTATTCATTTTTTAATGCCATGTGATAGTAATTACTATACAGTATTTTTTAATTGCACAAAAATATTTTCAAAGACGAAAATATATTAAAATTATTCTTTGTCCACATGTTTTAAGACAGTGTTACTCATGTATGTCTATATGTGCAGCAGTTAAGGGCAGACCAATACATGCATTACTTATGTATATTTGACTATACATGTGTGTATGTATTTTGCATATGTGTGACTGTCCTTACATAATGGTATACACATTCCAATAAGTGTATGGATGGGCAGTCAGGGGCATCTGTCCTATGGTAATATTACAGTGCTAGTTTTAAAATTCAAATTAGATTGAGCTATTATCACACAAACTATATTAATTTTTTTTTTTGCTCTTTTCAGGTTAAAGTGTTATATGTAAGAAACCTCACTCAAATGACTACGGAAGAAATGCTGAAGGAGAAATTTGATGAATTTGGAAAAGTTGAACGTGTTAAAAAGATTAAAGATTATGCTTTTGTCCACTTTGAGGAGAGAGATGAAGCAGTTAAGGTAAGATTAAAGTATGCTTCTTGCCTGTCTTGCTTCTTCTTCTTGTTGACTTTTGAGATAACTGGTTCCCTAACCTGGTCTCTATCAAGGCCTGGTTGATATTCTGATCAACTAGGCTTTTATTGCTTCTATGGAAGGCTAATGTCAAAATATTGTATTTGCCACTTTTTAACATTTCTGCACCCACTATCTGGGCAAATACATTATTATACAAGTACTGTAGGGTATTTTAGTATTATAAGACAGTCAGTGTACTTAGACACTTGGCCATTCCCGCTGTATTAGATTATATTGTATGAAGAATATCATAATGTAAGTATCATCCATGGTATGTTATAGGACAAAATGGCATGTGTGTATTATGTTTATATAGAAGAATATTGAAACAATCTATAGCGAACTCCTTCAGGCAATCCACCATTAGTATCATAATTAAGTATCAAAATTTGATGTTTTTGTGAGGCTTGTTTGCTGAAGCCACCACTGGACTGTCATGACATGGACATGTTAACAGCTTACCTTGTCTATTTATAAATGATTGTATTGTTCATAAAATATTTGAACAAATTAATTATGACATATTTTACAAACTATATTATTAATACTGTTTAAAAATCAATACTAGTATTCATAAAACTGCCAAAAGTGAATCATTATTGCACCAAGTGTTGAAATGCTGAAAAGTCCACTTTTCAGTCCATGCTGAAATTTATATACATAAAACTTAAAAAAGAAAAAAATTAAATATGACAAATTATTATTCAACCATGATTGTCAAACAGCTTGAGACCTTGAGACAAAATTACCCAAACGTATGTTGAAATGCTCCAAAGCCTCAGCCGTACTATACCTTTAAACACCAGAGCTGCTCGGGTGGCTAAGTCTACAATGTTGTTGTTAACACTTTCGCTCACCCCGCGCGCCACCCCTCAACTGTGTGATATGGGACCCCAGGGTGTCCCGGGAGCACGCGTAAATTCTGAAAAGTGTATACTCTCATTAACTTTGTCACATTAATTCTCGTCCTACGAGATTAAATTTTGTATCATTGTGTTTGCAATAGAATTCTCTACAGCACTAAATGCATATAAACTCCAAAAGCCCGGCTAATTACCCGCAGGAAACAGAGAAAGTGCGAACGAGTTACCCAGGAGCGCGCAAACGAGATAAAATGTTTTCACTATTTTCACTCTGGTCACCTCAATTTTCATCCTAGGTCTTTCATTTTGGTCTCAATGGGTTCGCAATAGAATTCTCTAGAGGAACATTAGCATATAAAATAAAAAACCTGGTCACGCTCCAACCGCCGACGAGTTGAAGACGGGCCACGCGTTAGCCGCAAGTGAGCGCTCAGACGCCTTCCAGCTACACTCCCAATTCCCGCCCTTTTCAAGCCTTTCTTTCGCAATTTTCTTCCTGGAAGGGCCTTGTTCATGATCACTATCCATCGTGGAGTAAGCGTAGATAGTTTCTAAAGCCGCAGTAAGAAATATAGCCACGGAAAATAGCCGAAATGTTCAGACGTTTGAGATGCGAGGGGAGGCAACATTGGTCACAACAGTGGAGCGAAAACAATGGGCCCACGGCGTGTGCCAAGCCGCCTGAGGGCCACGAGGCTCAACAAAGAAAATGGGAGAACATCGGCGCGCATTTTAAAACCAGTCCCCCCAAAAATTGGATAAAAACCTGATTTTTGGCGATTATTTAACCCTTAACATGCTCGGGGTTTAATATCCTGCCATCCCCACAGGCGCAGGTCATTTTGAAAAAAAAAAAATTATTTTTTCTTTCTAACCTGTTAATTTGTGTTCACTGATCACGGGAAAAATAATAAAAAAATCGTAAGAGGCATATATTGCCCGCTATAGGGCGGGGAAGTCTGGCAAATTATAGGCGCTGACTCAGCGTGCGTCCCAGGCGGTCTGTTGCTCGCAAGCTGTCAGGCCAGAGTTGCCACAAAGAGATAATTACCGAATTATTTCAATGTCTCTGATTTTTCATACTTTTTTTGCTGTAATATTATTCAATAGTGTGTAGTTTGATATATTTATATAATAAAATGAGTGAATCGTTGGTGTACTAAAAAATATGGTGTGCATATTGTTGATTCAGTTATGTTCATCAATCAGTGAACAAATACTTTGTCGGTTATTACACTATAAGCACAGGTTATATATAAGTATTTGCATGTTTTGTTCACTATAACGAACCGCTAAGTAGCTATTATGAGTCAAAAAGTAATGAGGAGTGACCGCCGTGTACCAGCCAGCCACTCCCGCCCTCCCTCCAGTCATCTGACTCACCCTCATTCTCCTCCCACAATAATGTTTTTGCTCTAATTCACTATATACAGACGTTATATATAAGTATCTACATGTTTTGTTCACCATAACTGTACATCTAAGCTTGTATGGTGAGTAAAGGCACAGAGATGTGGCTACTCACACAGTCAGCTGATCGGCGGCCGCCCTCAAGGTCAGACGCACTAATATTTTTCCTCCAACAATACTGTGTGGTGTTATTACGCTATATATCTTATATACAGACGTTATATATAAGTATCTACATGTTTTGTTCACCATAACTGTACATCTAAGCTTGTATGGTGAGTAAAGGCACAGAGATGTGGCTACTCACACAGTCAGCTGATCGGCGGCCGCCCTCAAGGCCAGACGCACTAATATTTCTCCTCCAACAATACTGTGTGGTGTTATTACGCTATATACACACATTATATATAAATATCTACTTGTTTTATTCATCATACTTGTACAAATAAACTGGTATGGTGCCCAAAGACCATCGTGGTAACCAGTAAACAACACCATCGTCTGCACGGTGGCGTCGTGCAGACGACGCCACCGCCCTCACCAAAATGGCGGCTCCAAACCTTCTCTTGCTGTTTATACCCTCTATACGCACGTTATATATAAGTGTCTACATTTGTGTTCACCATAGCGAACCACTAAGCTGGTATGGTGAGTGCAGTCAATAAAAGGTGGCCACACACAGTCAAAAGACATCGCCACCACCCTCTCTCTCACAGCATTACACCTCCTTCCATGGCGCACAGCGCTAAATATCACCACACTCCTGCTATTATCAGAACCCTGGTCAGTTTTATCACAGTCAGGGGTCTTTTGTAATAATATCATCGCTACATAATAGAATGAACAAGTATAATTTGGCATTTTTCGGCGATGCTGTGGTCACAAGCTGAACAGCAGTGCTGTTAGCTCATGCTGCGTGCGTCAGGCTTGGTTGCTCACTCAATACTGAGGCCAATAACACCCGGGAGTTTGGCCCACGATTTTAAAAAAAAATGGCGTCTGTTTACAAGAGCCCTGATGAAGGTGTGGTGAACCCCGTGTATCCGCGGGCTGTTTAAATCTTGCGTAGTACTCCAACACATCATATGACGTGATGCGCAGTTTACTGGAACAACGTCCAGCACGTCATATGACGTGATGCGCACTTTAAGGGTTAAAGTGGATGACGCAATGCTGCGTCATCCCCGGCATTACCGACAGTAAACGGATGACGCAATGCTGCGTCATGCCCGGGCGAAAGTGTTAATTCTGGTCCTGGGCCCTTGGAGGTCAGCATGGATCTTAAAGGTCAGCATAATCCATAGACTTTGCAGTACCAATCTATAAGCATTAATAAGCTACTGAGGGCCTACCAGGAAAGGGGACATTTCATTACATTTAACTCGATATATGAATGTTTGTCTTAGGGGTAGAGTTTACTTTCCTAATTAAGGTAAGGAAATTGTGATACTGGAATGTACTTCTCTATTATTCTGAAAGATCATTTAATATAATTTTTGTATGAATGTTTGCCAATTTTCTTTTCAGGCAATGGATGCACTACAAGGGAAGGATCTTGGAGGTGCAAGTATGGAGATTTCTTTAGCGAAACCTCCATCAGATAAAAAGAAAAAAGAAGAAGTCCTCCGAAATAGAGAGAAACGACTTATGCAGATGCTAGCACAGAGAGGGTAAGTACATTATTATTAACCTTTTGCTGTCATTTGGGATGTATTCCTCAGCACAGCTGCTGTAGTTAGTTCTTTGTTTTAATGTATTTCTTTTGAAATTTGGACATAGGGTTAATGTTATTTAACCTTTAGACGGTGCAGCTATTAATAGCCAACAACAACAATGTGTGCAAGAAAAAAAAATATATATATATATATTTCCTTCTAATGTTGTTAACTGATCAGTTGAAATTATTTCTCCTGATCAAAGGGAAAATAAAAAATAAATCGTATGTGACATATTTTTGCCATGATAGGGTGAGGAAGTGTTGCATGATACAGGCGCTGGCATGATACTAACCCTGGAGCGGTCTGCACCAGCCAAGCTGTGTGGCTGGAGTTGCCACAAAGATATTATTACCTAATGATTTCAATGTCTCTGGTTTGTTTTTTCTGTGGGGGTTTTTGCAGTAATATTATTCAGTAGTGTGTATTGTGATATATTTATATAATAAAATGTGTGGACCATTGCTGTACTCAAAAATATGGTGAGCATATTAGTGATTCAATTATAGTACATACTGTATTATATTCATAGAACAATAAAACAATGTTTTTGCTATTATTACTATATACATATATTATATACAGTATAACTATCTTTCATCTTTGTTCATCATAACGGCCCACTAAGTTGGTATGGTATGTTCAAACAGCATAGCGGCCACCACACACCAGTCGGCTGACGATGCCACCTCACTCGCCAAGATTCCTTCTACCAACATACTTTGTTTGCTGTTATTGCACTATATACACATGTTATATATAACTGTCTACATTTTTGTGCACCACAATGAACCACTTAAGCTTGTTTGGTGAGTCCAAACAGCATAGTGCCACTAACGCACTAGCCAGCTGACGACGACGCCTCAGCAAGATTCCTCCCATCATACTACGCACATTGCTAATTTTCATAACACTGCTGCTATTATCAGAATCCTGGTCACTAAATCCTGTAAATAAACAATTTTACACAAGTTTATTTTGTACAGGAACATGAAAAATTGTTTCAAGATTCTTAGATGGACCAAACAATGGCAGTGTGCTGTGGCTACCTGCCTAGCACTCTGAACATCATGTGTTCATTATGAACAGCATTGTGTTCTCTGATATCTGAACATTGTACAGTCTTCATCATGGTCAGGCTCGTCTTTAATACTATCATCACTAAATAATAGCAGTTATATATATATATATATATATATATATATATATATATATATATATATATATATATATATATATATATATATATATATATATATATATATATATATATATATATATATATATATATATATATATATATATATATATATATTAGTATATTTTTGTAGCAGTCTTTCCTGTAGACATATATTATTAAATATGACCGAAAAAGTAAGATTAATAATTCTAACACGAATTTTCTCAATCTTTCGTACATTACGCTTCACTGTTGGAGGTAAATCAAAAATCAATTCTCCAAAATTCATTTTTATTTCTAGTCTGACGCGACACAGGCGCGTTTCGTAAAACTTATTACATTTTCAAAGACTTTAGTTCACAAATACACAACTGAATAGAACTTACGTATCTCCGATTTTATATCTGCATTTGAGTGAGGTGGAAGGGGTGATGTGGCATTAACACAAGACAGAACAAAATGTGGTATTAATAGGGTATTAATTTCATCAACACAAGACAGAACAAGGGTATTAATAGGGTATTAATTTCATCAACACAAGACAGAACACGAAACAATGGATATTGAATAGAAGTGTTTGTAGAAAGCCTATTGGTCCATATTTCTTGATGCTTCTATATTGGAGCGGAGTCTTGAGGTGGGTAGAAGAGAATGTATATTCTCTTCTATTATATATATTCCACCCACCTCAAGACTCCGCTCCAATATAGATTATTATTTAAAAAGTCAATGCAACGGCCTCCTACAGCTTTATCTGGGCGAGTTTTTTCAACAAAACTTTGCAGTTCTTCCCATACTTCACACATTTTCTTAATGAGGAAGGGACATCCTCTACTCACAACTATTTTCTTTGGTTGAACCTTACCACTGACTTTCTTGGGACCCATTACGAGATATATAATAACAACTTTTGTGTTCAAATGGCCAAATATCCAACAAAACACTGTAAATCCTGTTGAAGAATTGAGGCGGGATAGTTACTAGGCGCGAGGCACTGGTTTAAGGGTGAACACTGGTGAACAAACAAGAGTTTGTTCTGGAAACTGGAACACATTGCAGGGGTGACAGGTAAGCTGCTAACTTGGATGAAAAATTTTCTGATTGATAGAAAAATGAGGGCAGTTATAAGAGGAAGTGTATCTGACTGCAGAAATGTCACAAGCGTAGTACCACAGGGTTCAGTTCTTGCACCGGTAATGTTCATTGTCTACATTAACGATCTACCAGATGGAATACAGAATTATATGAACATGTTTGCTCATGATGCTAAGATAATAGGGAAGATAAATAACTTATTGTCATACCCTTCAAGAAGACCTGGACCGAGTAAGTTTATGGAACACCACTTGGCAAATGAAATTTAATGTAAATAAATGCCATGTTATGGTATGTGGAATAGGAGAACATAGATCCCACACAACCTATAAATTATGTGAGAAATCTTTAAAGAAGTCTTTTTAAAGAAAGAGATCTAGGGGTCGTTCTAGGTAGAAAATTATCACCTGAGGATCACATTAAGAACATTGTGTGAGGGGGCCAATGCTACACTTTCTAACTTCATAATTGCTTTTAAATACATGGATGGCGAAATATTAAAGAAATTGTTCACGACTTTTGTTAGACCAAAGCTGGAATTTGCAGAGGTTGTGTGGTGCCCATATCTAAAGAAGCACAACAACAAACTGGAAAAGGTGCAAAGACATGCCACTAAGTGACTCCCAGAACTGAAGGACATAAGCTACGAGGTGAGGTTAGAGGTATTAAATATGCCAAAACTAGAAGACAGAAGGAAAAGAAGTGATATAATCACTACGTACAAAATTGTAACAGGAATTGATAAAATTGATAGGGAAGAATTCCTGAGACCCGGAACTTCAAGAACAAGAGGTCATAGATTTAAACTAACTAAACACAGATGCCGAAGAAATATAAGGAAATTCACTTTCGCAAAGAGAGAGGTAGATGGTTGGAACAAGTTAGGTGAGAAGGTGGTGGAGGCCAAGACCGTCAGTAGTTTCAAAGCGTTATATGACAAAGAGTGCTGGGAAGACGGGACACCACGAGTGTAGCTCTCATCCTGTAACTACATTTAGGTAATTACAGTATCTTGTCAGAAGTAATGGTCACCTGTCTTCAATCCTGACTCAATGGTATCTGTGAAAGCTTTTCCCTGGGAGTCCCTCTCTTGCTCTGCAATCAAGTTGGCTCTAGTCCAGTTCTTCAGTTCTGGAATAGAGTCTACAGATGTAGATGGAGTACTGTTGATGACTTGTGGGGTGGGTGTAGAGTTAAACAGAGCATCTAATCGCTACTGAGTCTTTGCCTGTGATTTGGTTTGGATTACTACCACTGGCCTTATCACATCCTCTACAGGATCCACTACAACTATGAGATGGTTACTCTCCAAACCCAAGGCTATGTCATTGGCCAGTATTTCTTCTATCTCTTCTATAGGAAGATGGTCTACTACTGCCAATGTGCTCCTGCCATTAAAAAATGGTGATTCCAAGTGAGCAAACAGGGGCAACATTCAAGTGAACTAAAGGAACTAAGGTGATTCCATGTGAACTAAGGGAGCAACATTCAAAGTGGACGGAAACCCACCTAAAAGGACACCTTGCTTTACTTCAATAGGGACTTCCTTGGGTAACGAGCTCTTCAAAATCAGAGATAAGGCTTCTCCACTATCTCCTGAGAATTACTACTGACCTACCACATTGGTCACTACTCTATACATACCCTTTCGAAGTGTTCGGAGCAAACAATCCTGGTTTCTCCCTCCTACTTGTTCATAGAGAGTAGGTTTCCAGTGGCGGTGTTACACAAATCACTTTCTCGAAGGCAACAAAGAACGTGGACACCTCCTTCTCATTAAATTTAGTCACCATTTTTATACTCCGCACTGGGTCAAAACCACTGGATTCTCTTCAACCACCTTATCTTAGCACTTCCACTTAGTATTGCCTTTCTTTCTCTTCCCTTTCTCTCCTCTCTTGTCTTTCTCTCCTCCTTTCTTTCCTTCTTTTCTTTCCAGCTCTCACCTTTTCAATTTGAGTTCTTTCTCTCTTTCTTCCTTTTCTAATCTTTTCAATTAGATTTCACAATTTATTTCTATTTCTCATATTGTCACTGGCAATAGGCTCACATTTAGTTCACTTGGGTCACTCTCAAAATCATTTTCGTGGTCTTCCTTGTCAGTGGAAGCCATGACACTGGGTTCTTTGCTACAGACTGCACTTTCCTGTTTGTTGTCTGGTTTCAAATGTCCATACATTCTAGATAGTATCTTGACACGTGAATCACTTTCTTTCATTTCTAGTTCCTGGCAAGGGCTTATCAACACTAGCTCTGATTTCCCTAAACACTTCTATTTGGAGAGGCAGTTTTCCTGGTTTAAGAACTCCTGAATATTGTGCAACATATCATTTGAAGTTTTCTCTGCCATTCCTCACTCCCTTAACACTGCACTTTGACACAAAAAGGAATCTGTACAAGAGGGTTGCACTAATCACTTGCCCGGTCCCATCTAACGTATCTGACAAGAAGTCGGATCCCGCTTGGAATGCCAATCATGTTACAACCTTACTTAGTCAGTAACCAGGTTCTTTTCATTCAAACTCTCTATTGGGTCTTCGTGCCTCTTCTTACTAGATCCAAAGTTTTTCTACTGCACACTCTACTAGTGCTTGCTTCCCTCAGTCTCTCTGGTTGCTCTATATTTCAGGAGATTATTGTTTTATATCACAGACCTCCTAACAACTTGGATAGGATGGTA